GTTTTGTTCACATTTATCGAGGGAAATCTAAACTCCTCATCAAAACAATCAACACAGGACTAAAGGGTAGCTGCTATAAATTCCCGTTTTAAATCACCGTGCTGCAAAGAGTGTGTGGAAGCTATTGAGTAAATATTTCTCAGAGTCAGATGACCTTCAGCAAAACTCTTCCATTTCTGCACACCGCTGCGTTTACATCTGATAAGAACAAAAAAAAAAAAAAAAAAACCGCTGCTGTTGGCATACAAACTAGAGGCAGGTGTGCAGGTGAGGAAGAAGTCCGACGATACAGGGCGCTGCTTAACGTCCAGTTCTATAAATGGCTGTGGCCATCCAGCTGGGATCGCGCCGCTGTCATCAAGCACAGCCTCTGCGGCCCACGCGGGTCTGAGCGCGGGGGCCCTCCTCTCCGAAAAGTCAAATGTCAGATGTCGTCCATCCCCCGCTCGCAGAAAGAAAAGCACCCAGCGCTGCGTCGGGAGGAGAGGAGCGCCGGGCAGGAGGGAGGCCCCACGTCTCGGCACGGCGATGGAAAAACATCATTACTATGCTTATTCTGCTTTGGAGCGCTGCTGCCGTCATGGCAACCAAATTACTAACTACATTCCCAAGCAAAAGTATTCATACCCTGTGGATGTTTATTTTTTCACCTTTTTTTTTACAGCTTACAGCCACAAACTTGTAAGTTAGAAAGTAGTTTTGAAGTGGAAGGAAAATGTGTGGCCTGCTTTGTATTCAGCAGCGTGTAGACCCAGTTTCTGCTGGAATTGTAGCATTTTGGAGAATTTCTATACCAGATTTCCACATCTAGATGCTGAAAACATTGTCCTGTGCAAAATAGCTCAGTTGGATGGTGAGAATCTGGACATCAGTTTCAGACTGGGCCAATCTAACACTTATACACGCTTTGTTCTACGTCAGGGTTGTCCAAAGTGTGGTCCGAGGGCCACCTGTGGCCTGATATTGTGCAGCTCCCGAATGCAGTTCAAGAATGATACAAATGTGAATCATTACGAACATAATTTCCTTGTAATGGAAAATGTTACACAACGTTATTTGTCTTTTATAACCAAGGCTTATTAATGAAAAGAACGACGTCTATCCAGAGACTTTTAATGAAAAGTCTATTTTACTGCATCAGTATCAACGTTTATTCAATTCATTAAACTTGGCTAAATATAGAAGGCGTCTTAAAAGAAAGTGTCCCTTCTTTTACAATGCTTTTAAAAGGAAGGATTTTGCAAACACGCGAAATCCTTTCCACATTTTGGATCTACGACATCCCTTTCCTACAAAAAGGGATTTGGTTTTGGCTCGTGAATACTTACAGTGCAACGATTTTGGCCAACGTGACTAAAACTTTGGACAATGACCAAGTCATTGTTGTCTTGCTGGAAGATGAACCTTCACCCCACTATGGAGTCTCTAGCTCCCTCTACATTTCCTTTAACTAACCCTCTGATGCTGAGAAAAAACCCTTCCCCAGTAAAGGTTGTGTTTTAGCTGCCTATTTAAAATCATTCAAACACCAAATATATCTTAATATGCATTAATACGCACAGTGGAAACCGTCTTAGCACAACAGCCAATCAGCGCCAAGGAAAATGAATGCCGCTCCTGGATTGGCTGCTTTGCAAAAACAAGATAACAGCATGCTAAGTAGCCTTTTGCTTAAATAACTCAGTATCCCAAGCACAATTTGAGGATATATCAACTTTATAAGATATTATAAGACATGTTTCGTGAAAAAATGCACAAAATGGTGAATTTTTGGCAAATAATTTGAAGTCACGATCCACAGAAAAACCCATGAGAACTGAACTGCAAATAGATGGGGCTTCGCTGTAATAGCAGTGTAATCCCCTGCAGATATTGCACTGTAAACAGTCCTTTTCAATATTTATATCCCACACACTCATCTGATGATGATGACACATTTGAAAATATGAAGCGAATCCAGTCCAGTAAATACTCTGAGCTAAATCTACATTTACGATAAATTCTTCTGCCACTTTCCAAATGCTAAATCCACTGTAATTCATGGGCCTTCATTCAGTTTCTGTCGTTTCTGTTCTAGTCGGTGACCAGGCAAGAACCAGATACATTTATCAATCGGCGCTGGAAATAGCTCGACAGCTAACACATTTAGCAACACATTAACAATGATGATGACTAGAACTTTTGGGAAAATAATAGGGATTATCACAGGTCAAGGCTAATCCCTATCCAGCAGCTACTTAATCAGGTAAGCCTTGAAAGCTGCAGTAATGGTCCACCACTGAGCCAGATTTCTACACATAGTTCATTAAGGTGAAAAGCCTCCCAACTGACATTTCCTCCTATATTTATTTCTGTCGAGTTTAAAAACATGAAGACCCCCTCCACCCCCCCCGCGGACGCCGCCAACTTGGCCTGCCGGGGCTGATTAAAGAGGTTGGAGTAATTACTCTGCAGCAGTGGCTTTCAGGAGCGTTACGATAATGCCTTCTGAAAACAGGTGGCTGCAGCGCGCTCGTGATAAGTTGGACCGACGCCTCGCAGCGTCGCAAAACAGGCAGCTGAAAACAAATTACCTTACACCTACAGCCTGCAGCCACGTTCATGCTTTGTATGTACACAGCAGCCGGCGTCCTGTGTTGTCACAACACTGATGCATTACCAAAAAAAAAAGAGAAAAAAACAAAAAAAACAAACAGCGCACTTCTGGAAACTCAGAGGGTGGATTTACTTCCAGGAGCTACGGCCGGCAACGCCTTTTGGATCCGGGCTCTCATGTCAACTGACAACCCGCTGCTAATGTCTAATCAATAACTGATTAAGATAATTGCAGAGCTTTACTAAGCACTGCAGCATTGTAAAGTCAAGAGAGTGGGACTGTGCATCACAACCAGAAACAGAAATGAATTTTTTGGGGGGAGATTTTAAGCGAGAGAAGCTCAATCTACGACTGAGAGAATCTGAACATCAGTTCTCATGCTGCGTCCTCTGCTAGCAGCAAATCAGAACGGCAATTATCTGACTAATCCATTATTCCGTGGATTATTCGGATAACAAAATAGCAAATTTCATTTAGCCATTCAAATCTTTTTTATACATTAGAAATATGTTAAAAGGTGCAAACAAATATTTCAATTCTGTTTTTAAAAAAAAAAAAAAACATTTTAATGCCTAAAATCCAATAAAATAAATACTTTTAACATCAACATGTGGAAAGCTCAGCGCTTTCTGCTTGATTTAACATCAACTGACAATATTCTGGGTTAAACGATTATAACTTAATAGCAAAAGTTGCTTGATGAGAGATTATTTTCCTTTTTTTTCTCCACAGAATTTGGTGGGGGTGTTTAGGGTAGAACACAATTACAGACAAGATATTTTTTTTATCTTAAATACATAATCTATATATTTTTTGGTGTATTTTTGGCTTAATTGCTGATTTGAGTATGTTCTTCTATTAGCAAATGGCCTCTTTTTGGGTTTCTATAGTCCAGTAATAAATCGTTAACTGGACTCAGTGGACAATTATTTCAGTAACCGATTAATCACGATTAATCATTTCGGCCCTACAACAAACAGGACTTCTTATGATTAAGACTTGAGGTATTTCACTCCTGCCTGCATCTATCTGCTGAAAAAAAAGGTATCTCCAGGGCATGATGCTGCCACCGCTATGTTTTTCTCTCCGCTCTCTAACTATGCAGCACCTTGAGTTAAGATTACTGCATGCAAATAATTGTGGTCTTTTGTGGTCTTAATGTTACCAGGTCAAAACATGGAAAAGTTCAAGTAGGTATGAATACTTTCACAAAGCACTGTAGCCAATGCGACCAGTCCAAGCTTCCCAGTGAAACCGTTTCATCTCTTTATAGCCGAATCTTGTCAAATCCATTTTTCATTAGCCTTCACGTTGCTGGAGACTGTACGGGTATGATCTCTTAAAAAATTCATAACAAAAGCACCCCAGACATTCTGTGGATCTCTCAACACTCACTCCACCCACCCACCCTCCGCTTTCCACCAGAAATGTGGCCAGAACAGAGCCGCTCGCTGCTGACTCCATCCACTAAAGCTTCAGGATTGCCACTAATTTCCCCCTCTTGATGAGCTATTGGCTCGAATCGTTTCGATCGATGAGCTCAGCCCAAATAAGAAAAATATCTCCCTCAATTCCCCGATGTGGTCCCTGCACATGCCTGTTGTGGTGCGCAGGGCAGAAACTGGAGTACTGATCCGCAGCTAGAGCTGGATCAAACACACACACACAAAGATTCTGTCATCCTACTTTGCTCTAGTCATTCAGTGACGCATTAATATCTCATATCCTTGTGCATGAATTGTCTCAAAGTTAAAAATCTGCAGCCTTTAAGTGAAACGAGGCTGGGCGAGCTGGGTAGGTAGGGTCGAACTGATTATTATCTTTATTGCATTCTTATGGTAGACTGCAAAGGTGGAATGTCAGACCTGTAAACACAGAGAGAGGCAGGAAGAGCCACCCCATGTGGCATGAACAGTGAAAGCAACCCCCAGAACCAAACATACATCGAGCATGCAGGATTGTGCAATTGTTAAAACGGGAGAGATAAAGCTTTGTTTGATGGTGCATGCACAATAAAGACAAGGGGGGGAAGAGATCGCTTTTGGTGCTGATTGCAATGTCTGATCTGCATGCATACTGTGCACCAAATGCATATATACATATCAATCCAGACCGTCAAGCTGCAGGCTGCGCGGTCACATGGAAACGCTTCGTTTAATTTGAGGGTATTCTTATTTTTATAATAGATAAACATGTATGTGTGAGATTCTTGCAGGCTGAAGTTCTCCTCACTTCCTAGTTTACAGCTGCTGTCACAGCTCGGCTAACACCCTTCTTCCTCCATAAGCCAGCGAACAATTTTTCGACTACATTTTTTTTTTTTTTTTTTTGCCGCTGCGACGAAATTCTTCCAGACACGCAGAGACCGTAACACATAAATAAAATAAAAATAAATCCCACTTACATTTCACCACCCTGTCCGTCGTAGATAACTTGGGCTCATCATTCGGCTTGTTTTCGGACATTTCCAGTGTGATATGAATTTAAAGATGTGTAAATATATATGAAAGGAGACTGAAAACGGGTCCCTGCGTTGCTCTTGCCGAACAACTCTTCGAGTGTGTCCGAGGAAAAGAGACCGCAGTGATCTCACCCGGGTTCCTCTGAGCGGCCAAAAATACTTGCAACGGGGGGTTACAGTTTCACTGCAGGAGCTGGAGGAGCTGTTAGGAGCTGCTCTGTCTGATTTACTGTTACTCTGAGCCAAGTTGCCTGGCTCAGCGCAGTGTGCACTCGAACGTGCTGACGCCTCAAGGCCCGCCCCCCGAGGCTTCCTATTGGTGGAGAGCCACTGTTGTCGTTCACGCTCACTTTTATCGAAAGATTTTCTTCGCTCTCTCTCTCGTTCTTTTATCATTCCAACTGCTGTGAATAACCCGCAATAAACTTAACACAAACAAGGCAAGGAGTGTCGTTTATCTCTGGATGTTATCGAGAGAGCCATTCTCGACGTTTTGAGTTCATTTGTGAAACAAGAGTTTGACTTTAATCTCGACAGTCAGTTGGAAGGAGTTGTACAATATAGCTCCTAATGTTCAATAAACAAACCATTTTGCTGGCTATTACCACAGCTACTACAACTTCCTAATAATCATTATTATTAATATTAATATTAGTAGTAGTTTTTTATTTGTATTTAATTACATTTTTGTAGTAATAGCAGTTGGCAACATTCTATATGTATAATCCATTGTATGCCATAGTTCTAGTTAGTAATAGTTCATGGTATTTATGATATATGCAATTTTGAAAATAATTTCTTTTAATTTACTTACATTTTTTTATGAAGCTAAACTGAATCAGAATTTATATAAGACATATACTAAAAGTAATATATTTGCCACTACTACTGCTTGTAATAAAATACTTTTCCTCAATCTCTGATCAGAGTTAAAGCTCTGATTTCAACCTTTAAATCGTTTAGCCTTTCTGGCTCATCATAGGAGCAGTTTCTCATTCCTGCCAACATACTGCAAATCCTTTTTGACATGCATCAGTTGCTACTGTGCAGTTCTCTACCATCTTATATCGTTTTCAGTCATGCCATTCAAAATGAAGCGTACTTCTGAATAGTCACTCTCTATAAAGCTAATAGTCTTCATTTCAATTCTTGAGTCACGACAGGCAAAAATGTTGAACTAGATGTCAAAATCAGTCATTTTTACGCATTTCTTCATCGTTATATCATGAGGTAAACGAGTACAAGACCCTCAATTTGTGTTTCACATTCTTTACAGCATGTGCTCTTTGCCATGCTAATTTGTTTACATTGTTGCGAAAAAGTACAAACATATTGTACATTGGAACTGAATGTAAACAATCCTGATATTCCAGTTCAAATCCGTTTGCCAGCTGTGGGTTCATGGGATTTCGCTCGTTGTGACATCACTGGTTTCAACTAAAGTTTCACACACTCCTCCTCACCGGTGAAAGCTGAGGTTCACCTGGCAGTAACAGTTTAATTATGGAAACATTTTCAAGGAGGACTGACGAAGGAATGCATAAATCTGACACATTTTGACAACCAGCTGAATGTTTTTGTTTGTTACGACTTGAGCAATGGGCTGAAGACAGTTGGTTGACTATTCAGCATTCAGAAGTGTAGTTCCTTTCCACTTTTCAGTGAAAATTATATAAAGCAGTAGATAATTACATGGTAGCAATTGATTCATGTCCAAAAGGATTTGCAGTCTGTTGGAAGGAATAAGAACTGACGGTTGAACTAAAAGTTATGACAATCTTAATTGATCAGTGAAATGCACCAATGCAATGGAGAAAAATATAACTACGCATTTTAAAGGATTGTGGAAGTGATGTTTAGAAATGTCTTGAGCATTTTCAGGTCGTGTTACCAAGATCAAACCAAGACCTCGCGAGAGTGAACTGTCATAATGAAAACATGACATGACATTTCACTATCTCGTTCATAAACAATGACTTCAGGACTTTCCTGACACCGACACTATCATTGAAATAAATGCTTGCTTTTGAGGAATGAACAATTCACTTTGACCAAGTGACTCACATTGGAGGTTCTTAACTGGGTTTTGCAGTTTAATTGTTTTGAGAAAATGCACAAGCAGTTGTGGAAATGTTGAGAGAAATGCACCAACAAAAATTATTTAAAAAAAAATACTATCATTATTATACTTAGCATTACATCTTTACTACTTTTACATTTGAAATATTCTGAAAATCAACTTCTTTATTTCTATTTTACCTTTTGCATGTTTGTTAATTAATTCAGGAAAACATTTAACAAAATTTCAAAATCTAAACAAGAAAATAAATAAATACTATAAATGGATAAGTATCAAATTACTACTAATAATACTAAAACAATAATAATAAATACAATTATTTCTAATGTTTTAAGAGTCAAATTCAAACTTTTAAAATTGTACACATAATAAATCGTTATGATAGGATTAAGTGGCTGATAAAATTAGATTTCACAGAAGATGTCAGAAAGTTACACACCAGAAACAAGATTGCAATAATTGTGGATGTTTTATTTGTTCTCTCTAGCACCACCTTGAGGACAGATCAGTACCTTGTTTGGCAGACACTCTTGAATTGAGGCTATGACGAAAAGGAAAAGTTATGTTGTTCTTTTAAGGTCTTCCAGTTAGATGGCACAGATGAGTTACAATTTACTTAGTTACTAGTTATCAGGTAACTATCGACCCAACCTTTGCTTCAGGAGGAAATGGGACGGTGTTCTCCGGGATCTTTTAAAGAAAACACTTCTTTTTCCCACAAGAACATAAAATATAAACTTAAGAAGTATTCCCAAATTCAACAACAAAAGAAACGGACCAGGAATAGTTATAAAAATAACCATGATGTTAATATGGTTGCAGTGATGCAGTTCAATTATTTACTACAGCTAATTTGATGATCTAATGAAAACTCCAGACGCTTATCAGTCAGATAAGACCAAAAAAAAACTTTTTTTAATGATAAAGCAATTATTGACGACCTTCTTCTTGTAGAGTCAAGAAAAGATCATCACAGACTGCTGCGATCATCTATATTTCTTAAATACAAACAGATCAAATTCATATATATAGAAATAAATAATCAAATCAGTTCAAACTCGCTACAGTCATCTATCAGGAAGCTCAAGCTCCTCTCTGGTTTCAAACAGAGGGAAGCTTTATAGAGATTTTAATTTCCTGCAGGACTTTGCACCTGGCCACCCTGCTAAAAGTATGAACACATGATCATTTAATGACCATGATGTAATTCACGCAAAAGGAGCCCCAACCGAGTGATTACTGCACAGTCTGTACAGATAAGATATCTTTATTCCCGTTATTGACCAGGTGCAGGTTGGTTCAGGTGAATTACATCCCAAATAAAATTACCGCATACACACACAAAAAAAAAACTGAATTTGAAAAACACAAAAATATTTCAGTATTGCACATCTTGTGTCATTTCTTCCAGATAAAATATATTTTTTTTAAAACAAGTGGTGTGGGGTTTTAACTTTTCCCTTCCTGAGGGGAGGAGCTGAAACGGAGCGCTGCGTTTTTAAAAAAAAAATATTTAGGGCTTTTCTAACACAACAGGAACTCTTCCAGGGAGCCGATTGGTTTCTCTGCAGACCCGATAAGCCTCTGGAGGGTTTTCCTGAGCAGCCGCTGAACTATGCACACATTACATTAGGTCAATATGCTCTCGATGGAGCAGCGGTGGGGAGTTGAGAGCAACTTTAGAGCAAAATATTCATGAGAATCCTCTGGAAATAAAGCCTCTGCTTCATGTTCTTCCTCAGCTGCTTGGTATTTGCCCCCCAGATAAGGTCATCACCATGCAGCACATGAGTTGTCAACAAGCTGACATTTCTGTAATAATATCCTGCTTTAGCTGCTTCTGGTGGAAAAAGTGATACTTTATTGCCAAGGGCATGCTTTAGAGCAACTGTCTGAAATTAAAAAAAGTTAGAGCAAAAACCCTTCCAGCCCCAAAACATCCAGAAAAATAAGAGTTCAACCATCCAATTCCTCAAAAAAAAAAAAAAAAAAAAAAAGATAAACAAAACTCTACAAAATAAACTGGGACTAACAATAACAGAACTACTCAAAAACATGTTGCCACCGTGTGTCACAATGTGACTCTATGTATCTATTTTAATCAATACAAACCCACAAAACAGCTTTGTCAGTTTTCATGGCTCCATGAACACGATTACAATTCAAAATGCCTCCATATCTTTTCTGCTGGCACCACCCTCAGGACAGCATTTGCAGTTTCACTCTTATTTTCATTGGTAACGCCGTGACCAGCGCCACATTTATGTTTGTCTTTACGCCACCACCTTTGGCGGCTGTGACGACGAGCCGTACAAGAAGGGATCTGTTCAACCGAAGCCGCCACAGATTTGAAAGATTTCACCGTGACGGACAGCGCGACAGGCGGACCTTGTGTGATTTTCATTACGCATCGGTCGATGCATAAAACCAGTTGGAGATTTGCGTAAAGGAGACCTCGCCTCTCACGCTCGTGCTCTCCCTCCAGTCGCCCTATAAATAAATGGTGCCAAACTGGTATAAGCAAAGACATTGCTGCTGCAGCGGTTAATGAAGCACCGAGTTTTACATTTCCCTCAGTGGGTGTAAGCGTGCGCGTCCGGGTCGACGCGCCCCCTTTTAACTATTCTTGCACTGGAGACATTTTCCACAGATCATTAGCTGCAGCACGTCTCAGCTTCTTTTGGATGCAAAGTTAATTAAACTCGTGTCTGGACTGAGACTCGGGCTCTTTATTTTCCTGGTAACCTGGTGTCTGAAAGGCAGTCACCTTTGTTATTTGCCATTTTCCCTTGTTGCATACACTCCCACCTATTCTGTCTGCATGGAAAATACAGTAGAATAACAAGCAGAGCTCTAACTGTGGGCTTCAGCTTCAGTATTTGAATTTAACCAGGTTGGAAATNTGCTGGAAGATGAACCTTCACCCCACTATGGAGTCTCTAGCTCCCTCTACATTTCCTTTAACTAACCCTCTGATGCTGAGAAAAAACCCTTCCCCAGTAAAGGTTGTGTTTTAGCTGCCTATTTAAAATCATTCAAACACCAAATATATCTTAATATGCATTAATACGCACAGTGGAAACCGTCTTAGCACAACAGCCAATCAGCGCCAAGGAAAATGAATGCCGCTCCTGGATTGGCTGCTTTGCAAAAACAAGATAACAGCATGCTAAGTAGCCTTTTGCTT